TCCCAAATATCTGAATACGTTCACCTCCTCCATACTCTCTCCCTCCAATCTGATATTCAATCTTTCATCACCTAATCTTTTTGTTATCCTCATAACCTTACTCTTTCCTGTATTCACCTTTAATTTTCTTCTTTTGCACACCCTACCAAATTCATCCACCAATCTCTGCAACTTCTCTTCAGAATCTCCCAAGAGCACAGTGTCATCAGCAAAGAGCAGCTGTGACAACTCCCACTTTGTGTGTGATTCTTTATCTTTTAACTCCACGCCTCTTGCCAAGACCCTCGCATTTACTTCTCTTACAACCCCATCTATAAATATATTAAACAACCACGGTGACATCACACATCCTTGTCTAAGGCCTACTTTTACTGGGAAAAAAGTGTATTTTTCCAGCCTCTGAGAGCAGGAATTCCGCCGGAACGGATTGTTGGCTTTTCAGTTAATTTAAATGAGAAAAATTGACTGCATACGAACAAATCAGGATACGAACAAGGTCATGGAGCAGATTAAGTTTGTAAGCCGAGGTTCCGCTGTACTTTGATAATTATACTTGTGTACCTGTGCTAAATAAACTTACACACTGTGCTGGCATGCAGGTACACATTAAAATCACTAAGTGTGTCTTATTAGTTTTGAGGATGCCATATTAATAATGATAATAATTCACAATAATAATAACTCTGAGGTGCATTAAATGTCGTATATTACGCTAATATAAACATTTTCATTAATCCATCTATAATATTTTTTCAAAATTATATAAACATGCTACATAACATATAAACATGATAAATACACCCCAAAGTGGAATAAACGTAAATATGAGATGTTAGGTGTAGGTGAATGTGTACCAACCATAACCAGACATGTTCGTCTGTTTGTTTACATCCTCCGCATGTGTGTACTCTCTCATTTACTTGTTTTCTCTCTCGTTTATTTGTTTTACTTCGTTTACTCGCCTCTTACCCTACATTATGACTACAAATTAATGAATGTACAGTGTTACACCAAGTTTCGTACAGCTCCCAACTTGAACAATTATGTAAATGTATTACTGTAAGTGCTTTTGTAAGTGTATTTTTGGGAGTCTGAAAAGGACTAATCTAATTGACATTATTACTTATGGGAACAAATTTGTTCAGTAACGGCACTCGAACAGCCTTCTGGATTGAATTATGGCCGAAACTCAGGGTACCACTGTACTGTATGTGCATTTTATTGGTCTGGGGCACATTAAATGTACTGTAGTATATTACGTGTGGGTGGGGTGGCCTGGCCAGGTTGACTCCCATACTTCCCACACCTGACATCCTACAAATAAATACTACTCGCCTCTCACCTTACATTAAGACTACAAATATTTTAAGGTAATTAATGAATGTACTGTACAGTGGACCCCCCGAGTTTCGTGATTAATCCATTCAAGAGAGTCTGCCGAATGACGAAATTCATGAATGGCGAAACCATTTTCCCCATAAGAAATAATGTAAATCCAATTAATCTGTTTCAGACACCCAAAAGTATTAACAAAAAATAGTTTTTTTTAAAGATTCAATATGGACTTACAGAAAACAATGACAAATAAATATAAAGCACTAATAAAATGGATAAATGAACATATAACATCACACCTTGATTGAAGACTCGTGTTGGTGTATGGAAGACAGGTAGGAGGGGAGTGGGAGGCGAGTTTATTATGCTTCAATGTGACGCTAATATCATCTCTACAGCATATTTATCTATCACAATTCATCTAATATGACATAAACAATATTAATAACATAGAAACATGATATATACTCTAGAATGAATGAAATATGTCATAACGTATGTGAGGAGTAAGTGGTGTTGGTGTTGGGTTTATAAGGGCCACTGAGTGAAGCTGTACACATTAGTGGTAGTGGAAGCGGCAGCAGAAGCTACCACCACTATTCACACAAACAATGTACAGAATTTATAAATAAGAAATATTTACACTTACCTTGGAGAAGATGTTAGTTTAATTAGTTTGATGGAGATGCTGGCAGAGGTTTATGGTGGTGGAAGATAGTAGGGTGGCATATGTTCACTGGCCCTATACTACACCAACAACATTGGAGAGTTACTATTGTGTTGTTTTTCTATCAATTAACTTACTTGCTACACAGTTAATGCTATACTTTATCGCTTGCTTGCGCTATAGCCTTTATTGATACCTGCTGCTTTAGTATTGTACATATCGTAGAATCACTGAATCATTGAAGAAGGCACATTCTCCCCTCTCTTCCTCCTCCACTTTGGTACTTAGCTGCAAGTTTTTCTTGAATTCTATCATGTTTCTTTCCTTCTTTACTAAAGGGCTGGCACTAGAAGCTTTCTTTGGGCCCATGGTGGCTTATTTAGCAGTTGAAAGCACAAAAAACAATTAATTATTATGAAATGTATCGTATGAACCCATGTGGTGATGGTCACATGCCCACAAATCATGCCATAATGACTGAATGTTGTGTGGGAGCCTTTGTGTGTGTGCTGAAGCTGGGATGCCGCTCAGACGTGTACCAGACGGTTGCCGAATCACGAGGCAGATCATGAACCGCGAGGCTATATTTTGACTAAAAAAGTTGCCGAAAGTTGGATTTTTCGAAAGTTGCGGCCCCCTAAACTCGGGGTTCCACTGTATATGCATTTTGTAGCTCTGGCGCTTTAAATGTCATAGTATATTATGTGTGGGTGAAAGAACTTAGATCTAGATGAAATACCAGGGACCTTAAAAGGTGCAGACATAGCTCCTTTGCATATGGGAGGTAGTAGAGCACTAACTAAAAATTACAGACCAGTAGCCCTAACTTCTCGCATCATAAAAATCTTCGAAAGAGCGATGAAACGGCAGATTACAAATTTCGTGGACAAGCACAACCAGCATAACTTGAACCAGCATGGTTTTAGAGCAGGACGATCATGCCTATCACAGCTGCTGAACCATTATGACAGAATTACGGAGGCATTGGAAGAAAACCAAAAGACAGATGTGATTTACACAGATTTTGCAAAGGTGTTTGACAAATGCGATCATGGAGGGATAGTGCACAAAATGAGGGCCATGGACATTATGGGGAAGGTAGGCAGGTGAATTTTTGGGTTCCTAACTCTCAGAACACAACAAGTAGATGTACTAGTAAACAGAGCAAGATCCAGCATCAGCAAGGTCAGAAGCTCAGTGCCCCAAGGAACTGTCATGGCACCTCTGCTGTTTTTCACCCTTATAGCAGACATAGATAAAAACACCCATCACACTTTTGTATCATTTGCAGTTGACACTAAAATAAGCATAAGTCACTATGGCAGAAGACACTGAAAAATTACAGGAAGACATAAGCAGGGTTTTCCAGTGGGCCATGGAGAACAACATGATGTTCAATGGTGATAAGTTCCAGCTACTTGGGTATGGTAAGAATGAAGAACTCAAAAGGAACACTATATGCAAAACTCAAGTGGGTCACCAAATAGAATGAAAAGAACAGGTAAAAGACCTGGGAATAATTATGTAAGCTGATCTTTCTTTTAAGGAACTTAAGACAAAGATCATGACAGCCAGGAAGATGACAGGGTGGGTATTGAGAATTTTTAAAACAAGGGAAATAATGCCAATGGTGACATTCTTCAAATGGCTAGTGCTCCCTCGTTTTGAATATTGCTCAGTGCTGATGGCCCCATTCAAAGCAGGAGAAATATCAGAGCTGGAACAAATACAGAGATTGTTTATGGCTCACATTGAGCCAGTAAAGCACCTACTATTACTCTTGAATATATTCTGATTGGAGCGGAGGAGAAAGAGATACATGATAATATATACTGTATCTGGAAAGTACTCAAGGGCCTGGTCCCAAATCTGCACACTGCCATAACATACTGGAGTGAGAGATTTGGGAGGAATTGTAAAATAAACCCAGTGAGGAGCAGGGGTGCGGTGGGGACAATATCCGGGGTCCCAGACTGTTCAACATCTTGTGCAAGACAGGTATACAATACCGACAGGATGAAAGTTAAGACACTTGTGCAAAATCTGGTTATGTTTCGCCATCCAGTGGCTTTATCAATACAGATTCTTGGACATAATTAGAAAACAGAAGAACTATATACAAAAGATGAGGTAATCAGCCCCTCAGCCTTGGAGGTGCTCTAAACACCACTTCCAAGGCTGAGGGACTGATTACCTCATCTTTTGTATATAGTTCTTCTGTTTTCTAATTGTCCAAGAATCTGTATTGATAAAGCCACTGGATGGCAAAACGTCTACAATAAAGATAACTAGATGTTGCACAAGTATCTTAATATTCAACATCTTACCAGAAGATATCAGAAACACAGCTGGAACAAGTGTAGAAGCCTTCAAGAGGAAACTGGACAAGTATCTTCACCAGGTGCCAGATCAACCAGGCTGTGATGGATATGTGGGGCACTGGGCCTCCAGCGGCAACAGCCTGGTTGATCAGGCAAGCACTGTACGAGCCTGGCCAGGCTCCAAGAGTAGTTGAACTCTCGAAACTCATCAAAGGTATATCAAAGGTAAAGGGTGGAGTGGAGTGGGCTTACCTGGCTGGCTACCATACCTCCCACACCAGACTTCCTACAAATACGACTCGACTCTTATCCTACATTAAAACTACAAATATTTTAAGGTAAGTAATGGGCGTACTGTGTGTGTATTTTACTTTTTATTGTTTAATGCTTAGTTCTATTGTTAATTTGTCTGGCATTTATATGCATTTATTAGTGGAAAAATGGCATTTCACTTTCCGGCAATGTCTGCTTTCCAGCGGTAGCCTGGAACCTAACCTGCCGTATAAGTGGGGCCCTACTGTTTAGTAAATTTTTTTTTACTTGCAGTATTTTGTGTAATATCTTTTACACTTTTGTATCTAGTTTGTCATGTTGGATTTTTAATTTAACATATTTACAGTTAGAGAATGTTTTGCAACTGTTGTTGAACCCATTGTATAAATGTGAAATTCTTTCAGATGTACATGAAAAGGTAGTGCATCTGGTGATGCGGGCCCCTCCTCAGGCAAACAGTCGAAGTGGCAACGGAGGCGCGAGTTCTTCTGGCACTGGATCCCCTAATGGTCACCATCACCACCACCATCACCATCATCACCACCATCACCATCACCGACGTCAACAGCCTCCAGAGGGTGCTCAAGTCCTCCTTGGATCATTTGTTGTTCCAGAAGATAATGAACCATTGGGTTTGTGTGTTATGGCATTAAAATTAATGGGGAAAATTAAATTTAATTCACAAGGAAGCTTTTGCAGCTTAATATGCTTCATTTGAAGTTAAAATAATTAAAAAAATCTTAATTTCTTTTATGACTTGTTTCCTTTAAAGAATTTATTGGAGATTGCAAAACTGATGGTTACATGAATTATGCAAGTGTTTCACATTTGCATGATATATTTCTTTGACACACTTGCATTAAAAATGCAGTGATTAGATTTAAGCATTATATGTAGATATGGAAGCCAAAGCTTTTTGGCTGATAAAAATATAAATTAGAAATTTTTCGAAGTACCCCTGTAATTTGTGCTCGTAGGCCTATGAATCTGAGTTACTATTTGGTGTTATAGTGGACTCCTTGCTTAATGACCTAGATAGGGAATGGAGACAAGGTTTACTAAGCAAAAAATTAAAGTAAATAGCATTATTTTATAGAAGCTCACATTATAACTTGGGATGATATTCATTATCTAATTCCAATTGTTTTTATTGTTGAAAGTTGAGAGATTTACTTGCCAGAGGTGGGTCCATTTTATTTTTGTAGAAGCTTAGAAATGTTATATTCTGTTTTATGAATGCATAACACAAAAAATATGAAAAAATGATCTTTTTCAATCTAATCAGACTTGGTGCTTGATGCTTCGATCAAAAACAAAGTATAGGACATGTCCAAAATAAGATTATTGGATTTCACCTACCCAGTTCTGTTTTCTGTCTTATGGCTGTCACTATGAACCACTTTAGTGATATTTAACCCTTTGAGGGTCCAAGCCGTAGATCTATGTCTTGTCCACAGGGTCCAATCTGTAGTTCTGTGCCGTGAGCTCAGCTCACTCAGATAAGCTGTGAGCAGTAAATTTGGGCCTGGATATGAGAGAATGGATCTGTGGTGAGAGTGCACCATATAAAACAAATCCTGCAGTATGTAGTGCGTAATGAAAAAAAAAACAACTGATTGTGTGTTTGGATTAAAACACTGACTTTGTGGTGTATTTTCATATGGGTTTTTAGTCGTATTTGCTGTTTTTTGGTCTCGTTTGATAGAATGGAAGATATATTACAGAAATAGAGATGATTTTGATTGGTTTTAGTACTGAAAATAGCTTGAAATTGAGCTAAAATTAGCAGAAATGTTCGACTTTGTCAATCTTCAGGAGTAAACAAAAGACGTCGTGTATCCAATACATGTCAACTGGTGGGTATAATATATGTTCACAAATGTGCTGATATTATTTATACAATTATTACAATATTGCATTACAGTAAATCTTCTATTTTATGGTGTGAATAAAAATTCTTTATGTAAATCAAAAATCAAAATTTAATTCATCTGTAAAGCCTGGAAACATAACCAATAAACAGAGGAAATGTTACTTTAGTGCCAGGAATGCCTTCATTGTTTTTTCTGGACCCTGTTTTGAAATTGGAGCATTTTTAACTTTGTGTGAAATTGACCAAATTACCAATTTCTGATCACTTTATTGGGCAGTTGAAATAGCTGATTGGGCAGTTTCTTGTGCTCACTTGATAATATAGAAGTAATACTAGTAAAATAGCTAAGAATTTGGTCAGCTGGAATAATGTAATTGACCTAATAAAGGAGTCAAAGTGGCCAAAATCACTGATGCGTAGATATTGCTGCCGCAGTAAAATTCAAGATAGTGTAATTTCATCAGTTTTCCATCAAATTTTGTACTTTTTGTTTTATTACCTTCAGAAAAACATTCTCTGCCATTTCATAAGAAAAAAAAAATATTTGTTTTTAAATTCTTGAACCCTGTGGACAAGGCATAGATCTACGGCTTGGACCGTCAAAGTTAAGGAGAGTTAAAGAAATCAAGTGAGCCTGTAATATCTTCCTACAACTTCGCTGATTGCAAATTTCGCAACTAATGTTTATTAAGAAAATGAGCTTAATACACACATACCATGTGATTATAAAAAAAAAAAATGAATTTGGTCTGAAAAATAACAAAAATCAGTCCTGTTTTGTCTGGCCAGGTGTCTATTTTGTTTTTTCTTAATTATTAAGACACTCAAATTGAAAACCAATTAGATTTCATTCAGAATATGCCTATTAGATTTTCCATGCTGAAATCTATTTTCTTCAGATCAAGCTGCTATGAATATCATTTTACACCAGTTTAGAGCATTATTTAAAGAGATTGTTACAAAAACTGTGAATGTCACCTTGGTATTTGATTGTTGCACAAGTCAGATATCATTAATTGATGGGAATGGGTTCGAGGATCTGCTTCCAGGAATTTGGTTGTATGAACAGGTGGTGGTTGTTAAGCAGAGGAATGGTCATAGCTTTTCAGTCATTTATCAAAATTATATTGAACAAATATTCATTAAGCAGGGGTCTACTGTATTTGATCAGACTTCAGCAGCAAAACTTTTTTTTATTTATTGAAACTTGTTTACTATCTTTTTGGCTTTAGTGTCAGTGATAATTTGTTACTTTTTAATAGCTTTTTGGTAATAACCACCTATTGGTGACAGTAGAAATTTTCAAAGTTTTGATAAAGGGTTAGATTCACAAATAAATACATTGAAGATGACATTAGACAGTGTTTTGGTTCATTCTGGATTGTTCTCACCACAGCATTGTCCATTGCATATATTAAATATTATTTGCTTTCACTAAGAACAAGACTTTAATTACTATTTGAGTTCATAGGAGAAGAGCCTAGCACTAGCTCTTGGTCTTGCCTCTTAACTTGTAACAGACTGGTGTGAAAAGCTATCATGTCTTCATTTGAATCTGTCAGTGATTCCACTGTCATCTACATTATTCTATTTTTAACCATTCGTATGTTGAAGTATTTAAGAATTTCTGCTTGGCTCATTTGGATACATAAATTTCAACCTTACTTCACTCTGGAATATTGCATGTTATCATATCACCTCCTGTTCTTCATTCTTTCAGAGACAGAAGACCTATGTTTTTGAATTTTCTTCATAATTAGTTACTCTTTATCTTTGCACCAGTTTGGATACACTCCTTTGGACTTTCGAGTTTCACTGTAAACAGGTGAGGGTTTCACACCTTTGCTACATACTCAAGAATGGGTTGTAATTATGAAATAGACACAGCATTTGCAGTGTCTTTGAATTGGTTTCTTAACACTACTGTTGTCTTCAGTGTTCTTTTCTCATCTCGAAGCTTCATAATTCTGTTTTTATTTGGGTTAAACTATAATACCTATTTGTTTGATATTTTCAGTTTTTGTGAGACCACCTTATATCCCCTTCAGTTTGTTTTTTGCGTTATTTTGGCATCATCATCAAACGAGGGATTGGAGGAGTTTTATACTGTTAGGTCATTAATATACTTAAGGATCAAAGTATAGAGACTATGCTAATTAGACTCTTGTATTATTTATTACTTTATTCATGGTAAATGTTTTTTTTATAATGTGCTGTTGGAGTGTGAACAAAGTAACGTTTATGAAGGGATTCAGTTAGGGTGTGGTTGGTAAGTTTGGGGGGGGGGCCTAGTGTAAATGATAATGGGGGGGGCCTTTGAACTTAGTATAGAAAGGGGTTTAGTTATAATATTTTAAGAAAAAATGGATAAATACGTATTGAAGAAATGATATAGGGCATAATGGCAGTAGTTTGTTGGACTATGTATTGGTAGACGAGACTGATGGGTAAACTTCAGGATGTGCGTGATTATAGAGAGGCCACAGATATATCAGATCACTATTTAGTTGTAGCTACAATGAGAGTAAAAGGTAGATGGGATGCAAGGAGAATAGAATCAGCAAGTAAGAGAGAAGTGAAGGTTTATAAACTAAAGGAGGAGGCAGTTAGGGTAAGATATAAACAACGATTGGAAGGAAGATGGGCTAGTGGGAGAATAGGCAATGAGGTTGAAGAGGTATGGGGTAGATTTAAGAATGTAGTGTTAGTGTTCAACAGGGGTTTGTGGTTACAGGAAAGGGGGTGTGGGAGGGAAGAAGAATGATTGGTGGAAATGATGAAGTAAAGAGTAGCAAGAGAGAAAAAGTTAGCATATGACAGGTTTTTCCAAAGTAGAAGTGATACAAGGAGGGAGGAGTATATGGAGAGAAAAAGAGAGGTTAAGAGAGTGGTGAAGCAGTGTAAAAAGAGAGCAAATGAGAGTGGGTGAGATGCTATCAACAAATTTTATTTAGAATAAGGAAAAGTTTTGGAGTGAGATTAGTAAGTTGAGAAAGCCTAAGGAATATATGGATTTGACAATTAAAAATAGGAGAGGAGAGTTATTAGATGGAGAGTTAGAGGTATTGGGAAGATGGAGGGAATATTTTGAGGAACTGTTAAATGTTGAAGATTGGGAAGTTATGATTTTGTGTATTGGGTAGGGAGGTATAGCATCTTGGGGTGAAGAAGAGCCAGTTGTGAGTGGGGGATGAAGTGCATGAGGCAGTGAATAGAATGAAAGTGGGTAAAGCAGGGTAAAGAGGGTAAGGTACCTAGGGATTGACAGAGAATGTATAGTTCCTTTGTATAAAGGCGAAGGAGACAAAAGAGAGTGTAAGAATTATAGGGGAAGAAGCCTGTTGAGTATACCTGGTAAAGTTATTATTGAAAGAATTAAGAGTAAGACAGAGAGCAGTAGGTGAACAATATTTAGATAAAGATGAAGTGATTTTTGTGGCATTTATGGATTTGGAAAAAGGCATGTGAAGGGGTGGATAGGGGGGGCAATGTGGCAGATGTTGCAAATGTATGGAATAAGAGGTAGATTAGGATATTTATTGCATTGTTTTCCTCTGTGGAGCTTCTGTCAGCTTAATACATGGGGAAGTGGAAAAGAATCTTTCCTCCGTAAGCCATGCGTGTCGTATGAGGCGACTAAAATGCCGGGAGCAATGGGCTAGTAACCCCTTCTCCTGTAGACATTTACTAAAAAAGAGAAGAAGAAAAACTTTGTAAAACTGGGATGCTTGAATGTGCGTGGGTGTAGTGCGGATGACAAGAAACAGATGATTGCTGATGTTATGAATGAAAAGAAGTTGGATGTCCTGGCCCTAAGCAAAAAAAAGCTGAAGGGAATAGGGGAGTTTCGATGGGTAGAAATAAATGGGATTAAATCTGGAGTATCTGAGAGAGTTAGAGCAAAGGAAGGGGTAGCAGTAATGATGAAGGATCAGTTATGGAAGGAGAAAAGAGAATATGAATGTGTAAATTCAAGAATTATGTGGATTAAAGTAAAGGTTGGATGTGAAAAGTGGGTCATAATAAGCGTGTATGCACCTGGAGAAGAGAGGAATGTAGAAGGGAGAGAGAGATTTTGGGAGATGTTAAGTGAATGTATAAGAGCCTTTGAACCAAGTGAGAGAGTAATTGTGGTAGGGGATCTGAATGCTAAAGTAGGAGAAACTTTTAGAGAGGGTGTGGTAGGTAAGTTTGGGGTGCCAGGTGTAAATGATAATGAGAGCCCTTTGATTGAACTTTGTATAGAAAGGAGTTTAGTTATAGGTAATACATATTTTAAGAAAAAGAGGATAAATAAGTATACAAGATTTGATGTAGGGCAAAATGACAGTAGTTTGTTGGATTATGTATTGGTAGATAAAAGACTGTTAAGTAGACTTCAGGATGTACATGTTTATAGAGGGGCCACAGATATATCAGATCACTTTCTAGTTGTAGCTACACTGAGAGTAAAAGGTAGATGGGGTACAAGGAGAACAGAAGCATCAGGGATGAGAGAGGTGAAGGTTTATAAACTAAAAGAAGAGGCAGTTAGGGTAAGATATAAACAGCTATTGGAGGATAGATGGGCTATTGAGAGCATAGGCAATGGGGTCGAAGAGGTATGGAGTAGATTTAAAAATGTAGTGTTAGGGTGTTCAGCAGAAGTTTGTGGTTACAGGAAAGTGGGTGCGGGAGGGAAGAGGAGCGATTGGTGGAATGATGATGTAAAGAGAGCAGTAAGGGAGAAAAAGTTAGCATATGAGAAGTTTTTACAAAGTAGAAGTGATGCAAGGAGGGAAGATAATATGGAGAAAAAGAGAGAGGTTAAGAGAGTGGTGAAGCAATGTAAAAAGAGAGCAAATGAGAGAGTGGGTGAGCTGTTATCAACAAATTTTGTTGAAAATAAGAAAAAGTTTTGGAGTGAGATTAACAAGTTAAGGAAGCCTAGAGAACAAATGGATTTGTCAGTTAAAAATAGAAGAGGAGAGTTATTAAATGGAGAGTTAGAGGTATTGGGAAGATGGAGGGAATATTTTGAGGAATTGTTAAATGTTGATGAAGATAGGGAAGCTGTGATTTCGTGTATAAGGCAAGGAAGGAAGAATAACATCTTGTAGGAGTGAGGAAGAGCCAGTTGTGAGTGTGGGGGAAGTTCGTGAGGCAGTAGGTAAAATGAAAGGGGGTAAGGCAGCTGGGATTCATGGGATAAAGATAGAAATGTTAAAAGCAGGTGGGGATATAGTTTTGGAGTGGTTGGTGCAATTATTTAATAAATGTATGGAAGAGGGTAAGGTACCTAGGGATTGGCAGAGAGCATGCATAGTTCCGTTGTATAAAGGCAAAGGGGACAAAAGAGAGTGCAAAAATCATTGGGGGATAAGTCTGTTGAGTATACCTGGTAACGTGTATGGTAGAGTTATTATTGAGAGAATTAAGAGTAAGACAGAGAATAGGATAGCAGATGAGCAAGGAGGCTTTAGGAAAGGTAGGGGGTGTGTGGACCAGGTGTTTACAGTGAAACATATAAGTGAAAAGTATTTAGATAAGGCTAAAGAGGTCTTTGTGGCATTTATGGATTTGGAAAAGGCGTATGACAGGGTGGATAGGGGGGCAATGTGGCAGATGTTGCAGGTGTATGGTGTAGGAGGTAGGTTACTGAAAGCAGTGAAGAGTTTTTACGAGGATAGTGAGTACAAGTTAGAGTACATAGGAAAGAGGGAAATTATTTCCCAGTAAAAGTAGGCCTTAGACAAGGATGTGTGATGTCACCATGGTTGTTTAATATATTTATAGATGGGGTTGTAAGAGAAGTAAATGCGAGGGTCTTGGCAAAAGGCGTGGAGTTAAAAGATAAAGAATCACACATAAAGTGGGAGTTGTCACAGTTGCTCTTTGCTGATGACACTGTGCTCTTGGGAGATTCTGAAGAGAAGTTGCAAAGATTGGTGGATGAATTTGGTAGGGTGTGCAAAAGAAGAAAATTAAAAGTGAATACAGGAAAGAGTAAGGTTATGAGGGTAACAAAAAGATTAGGTGATGAAAGATTGGATATCAGATTGGAGGGAGAGAGTATGGAGGAGGTGAATGTATTCAGATATTTGGGAGTGGACGTGTCAGCAGATGGGTCTATGAAAGATGAGGTGAATCATAGAATTGATGAGGGGAAAAGGGTGAGTGGTGCACTTAGGAGTCTGTGGAGACAAAGAACTGTGTCCTTGGAGGCAAAGAGGGGAATGTATGAGAGTATAGTTTTACCAACGCTCTTATATGGGTGTGAAGCATGGGTGATGAATGTTGCAGCGAGGAGAAGGCTGGAGGCAGTGGAGATGTCATGTCTGAGGGCAATGTGTGGTGTGAATATAATGCAGAGAATTCGTAGTTTGGAAGTTAGGAGGAGGTGCGAGATATTCAAAACTGTTGTCCAGAGGGCTGAGGAAGGGTTGTTGAGATGGTTCGGATATGTAGAGAGAATGGAGCGAAACAGAGTGACTTCAAGAGTGTATCAGTCTGTAGTGGAAGGAAGGCAGGGTAGGGGTCGGCCTAGGAAAGGTTGGAGGGAGGGGGTAAAGGAGGTTTTATGTGCGAGGGGCTTGGACTTCCAGCAGGCATGCGTGAGCGTGTTTGATAGGAGTGAATGGAGACAAATGGTTTTTAATACTTGACGTGCTGTTGGAGTGTGAGCAAAGTAACATTTATGAAGGGGTTCAGGGAAACCGGCAGGCCGGACTTGAGTCCTGGAGATGGGAAGTACAGTGCCTGCACTCTGAAGGAGGGGGTGTTAATGTTGCAGTTTAGAAACTGTAGTGTAAAGCACCCTTCTGGCAAGACAGTGATGGAGTGAATGATGGTGAAAGTTTTTCTTTTTCGGGCCACCCTGTCTTGGTGGGAATCGGCCAGTGTGATAATAAATAATAAATAAAATAAATAAATAGGTAAAACATGCATAATGGTTAAGGGGGGCGAAGTTGAGTGTAGCAGGGGAAGGTGTCCTATTTTGGTTGCAATGTCTTGGACAAGTAGAACCAATATAGTTAAAACCAATATAGTTAAAAGTATTGGTGTGTTTTGGGCAATAATGTTGGTGGTAGTAATAGTTGCATATTATAAACAGTGACATTTGTGTAGGTTTTCTTCACTGACAAGTTGAGTATCACCCTTCATTAGGTAAATTTGGGAATTGCCTAGTACTGCATGTGTCTTAGCTGCATATTTGTCAGTATTTGATGTAATTTTTTTTATCCAGGCTGAACATATTGTTACGGAATCCATGCTGGTGGTATATGAGGAATCTATGGTTTCTAGATGATCAAAAATCTTTTGGGTAAGGGCATATTTGTAGTTTTTTAAAAGGAATTTAACTCTAGGTCCTGTCTCTTAACCATGAAATAACTTTGTCATCTCTTCTTTTGAACTCTTATATGGATCCTTCCACATCTTTTTCACATTTATTTTAGTGTTTTTGGATACCCCCGTTGCCCATATGTGAAGAAATTTTTTGCTAAAAATTCTAGGTACAATGTGTGTGTTACATCAGTTGTATAAATGTGCTTCAGTATTAAACTTTGTCACAGTCTGACTGCTTTCATCACATGTAAAATTGTTGCTATTTTAATCAATGCCACAGCCTCTTGGTCTCATACCTTTGATATGATTGGTTTCAAGGATTGTATTTATGCAGCCTGAATTGAGGCCAGCCAGACTTCCTTGCTGACCGCCTGATCAACTAGGCCGTTGTTGCTAGTGGCCCTCCAGCCTGTTTGGATATTGCAATCTGGCTCATACTTGAGTTTTGTTTCTTAACCATTTTAGCTGACTAAATCATATTGTTAAACTTCCTTTTTCTCATGTGAACTGCCTTTGATTTAAATTAGATCTTTCTTTGGCTGTAAGACATATTTACTATGTAGAAATGGTTGCAAGGAATCACTGAACTTTGTGCATTATAATCTTGTAAAGATGACATTTTGTTTTTAATTGATCAGGCAAGAGAGAACGACCAGGTAAACGTGTTCTGTATTTAATATAGCTAAGTAGTTGGTGATCTTTAGAGTAAATACCATTTAAATTATATAGCCATTTTAACTCGTGTGAAAGTCTATACGTACTCTCAGATAGTTTCATTAATTACATTTTAATAAATTTTAGTGATGCTATACTTGAAATACATACACCTGTACATGAATGTTAGGTTTCATATATTGTGAGTGTTTTGTATTTGTAATTTTTTTTTATAAATTCCTTTTTTGATTTCTAAAGTTCCTCCAACACAAGGACCGAGTTCTTCTGGGGTACGTCTGAATCAAGCTCGAACTATGCTGGATCGGGCCTCTGCAGTTCTTGACCAGTTGGACCAAAGACTTCGCTTGGGAGAAGAAACTATCCCGTCTGCAGAGTCTACACCAGATAGCGACCAAGCTGCTAGTGTAAGCCAAGCCAGTTGTTATTTCATCTTTGTTTCTTGTTTAGTATGTTTTATTTTATTTTATTAAGATTTTGGTGTTTGGTTTTCAATTGTACATATCCTTCACTTTGAATTATGCAATAGATGCATTCCAAAATAAATAAGAAAAAGGCACAATACCGTGACTGGAACAATACACAAATAACCCGCACATAGGAGAGAGGAGTTTAGTATAATGAGGTTTCGGTCTGACTTGGACCATTTACAAAGTCACACTAACAGAAAGGAGAGAAAGGAACAGTATATTTAGTCCAGCAGACAGGGACAGGACAAGAGAGATAGTAGGAAAGGAAGTAGAGAGGTGGCTGTTTTTGCTGCTGTACTTTCTTTACTACTACTCTTGATCCATCCTTGTCTGCTGACCTATATATACTGTCCCCTTCTCTCCTTTCTGTTAGTGTGACTTTGTAAGTATAATAATTTTATTTTGGCATGATATATGGTTGTACAAGGAATATAAAAAGCCTCTTTGTATGCAGAGATTTTTTCGGGCAACTTAATATTAACTTAAGATTAACAAGGCAGTAACAGTTCATATGGTCATTAGATGAGTTACAGTGAGAACAAGAGAAATGAATATTATTAGGTAATGCTATATGGCTTTAACCCCTTAACTGTCTAAACATAGATCTATGTTCTTACCGCTAGCGCTCCAAACGTAGATCAGCGTTTAATTTTTCCTGCCTCCAAATTTGGCATGATTGACCTGAGATGCCTGGTCAGCATAGAATGGGTCTTAACCCTTGGTGCTTGCAGTACCTTGTGGGAGCACCAGTTCAATTGAGCGCCAGCTAGAGCAAATAGCATGGCAAACATCAGGGATTCACTGATGTCGTATTAACACTCCCCTTTTAACCCTTTGAGGGTCGACAGGCCCTCTCCGAAACTCGTTCTCAGGGTCGGCCAAATTTAAAAAAAAAAAAAAAATTATTTTCTCTTATGAAAAGATAGAGAATCTTTTCCCGATCATAAAGACACCAAAAGTTTGAAATTTGATAGAAAACTTACGGAATTATGCTCTTGCAAAGTTAGCGGTCTCGGCGATGTTTACGCATCGGCGATTTTGCCCACTTTGAGCCCCATTTTCGGCCAATTTCACTGTACTAGTCGACAAAAAACATGAATATTTCGCTAGAACTCCATTTTTTCTATCGAATGGATGCAAGAAACCACTCATTTATGAAATTCAACTATCCAGTACAGTGGTCAGAATTTAGCAATTTTGCCAATTTCACACAAATTTCAAAAGATGCCAATTTCGGAATAGGGTCCAGAATAAACAAGAAAGACATTCCTGGCACTAAAATGACATTTCCTCTAGTCATTAGTCATGTCTCAAGTCCCCTCTTATATTCTTTTGCTTTTCACTTTGAATTTTTATTTTCACAAAAAATATAAGATTTACTGTTATGCAGACTACTGCATTAGTGTAAAAAATGGTATAAATATTATTGGTGCACTTGTGAAAGAATATTAGACTCACCAGTTGACGTGTATTGCACGCTTGGCACGATTTGTTTACTTTTGAAGTTTGGTAAAAATCGAACATTTCTGCTACTTTGAGCTCAATTTCAAGGCACCTTTCTTTGCAAAACCAGTCAAAATCATCTCAATTTCTGTAATATGTCTTCCATTCTATAAAATGAGACCAAGAAAACTAGAATACAACAATAAATACCATACGAAAATACACTGCAAAGTTTTTTTTTCTCATTATGCACTGTGTGCTGCAGGATTTTTTTTAGACTGTGCACACTGACCACATAGACCCATTCTTTCATATGAAGGCCTACCAGCTTTCTCCCACTAGATTTGAGGCCGCTAGAATTTATGAGTACTAGTACGTCAAAAAACCCTACGCGTAAAACGTACTAGTACGACGAAAACCCTCAAAGGGTTAAGAGGAAACTGATGTTGACCTCGAGTTTAGTGACTTTGAGGTGGATGTGGCCACAATTGGTTGAGGAAATATAAAAAAAAAACCTCGATAATAACCCGTGTGCAACATTTGTGCGACATCCTTTCAATTTTGGCACCACTGGTAGTGTCATCCTGCCAGAATGTCTTATAACCTATGCCCTAAGTAAAGAGAAACAATTCTGGAACATGTAATACTTGTTCGGCAGGCAGGCTGGCTGGCCTATTGGCTGACTGGCGGCTGGCTGGCTGGCCAGCTGGCTGGCTGGCCAGCTGCTGGCTGGCTGATTAGCTGTCTGTGTCCGTCTGTCTTTATTTTTTTTTTATTTTTTTACACGGTTTGACAAGGTTAGGTTAAGGATCCCTAGCTTTATTGACAAGCTATTTACAGGTTAAGGATTCCTAACTTTATTGACAAGCTATGAGATGTTACCTACATCAGCTTATTTGAAAGTATTTTTATTGTTATGAAACATACAAGTAGGGAACAGGATGAAGTTGGAGCCATCTGTGGGCCAGCATTTTCATCTGATCAACTGACTTTATCTCGTTGACATCACAATGCTGTACGAATGTGTTTCATACTCGAGTCATCCTGGGTATAAATGATCTCAGATGAAGTGATATTCTGGAGAAGGGCACAGCCAGAGTGAAGTTGCTGCTTTCTGCCCATCTTGTGGTATAGAAACTTGCTTCACGCTGTCCTCGAAGTGGATCCAAGTGTGGTACTTCGACAGTGTTGGCCTTGTACATAACAGTAAGGCCACCCACATCCCTCCTGTGTTGAAGGCTCTGCTGAAATGACAGATGTATCCAGGATTGGTCCAGGTGAGAGATGAGACGTCTTGCTCTGTTCTCTACTCTGTCAAGCAGTTGCAAATGAGAAGGGGGGAAGGCGAACCAAGAAAGTGGAGCATACTCAAGGTGTGAGCATACTTGTGCCTCGTACAAAATCTTGCAACCCCTACTGTCAAACAGATGCGAGATACGGCGAAGTGCTGTAAGCTTTGTCTTTGTCTCTCTCTCTCTCTATCTGTCTCGGTATCTCTCTATCTGTCACAGGTACACATAAATACAATTATGCATAGTATAAATTACCTAGGATAACCCAAAAAATCCAGACAAAGTGCTATAGTGTGCTTGTAGATATAATGCATAATAAGCATGACTGGCAAGTAATAGGCATTTTCATAGGCATTTTCACAGAGCTAGACAGATGGACACAAACGGACAGACAGATACAGACGTGTTTGTGTAACAGTGAAAACAAATAAAGCCAAGGCAGTGCACGATCATCACAGTGGAGTGACACTTGTCTTGCACCAAGCTGGCTGGCTGGCTGGCTGATTAGCTGTCTGTCTCTGTCTGTCTGTATCTATCTATTTCTCTGTCTCTTTCTCTGTCTATATCACAGGTACACACAAATACAATTATATAGTGTAAATTACCTAGGATAACCCAGAAAATATGGACAAAGTGCTATAATGTGCTTGAAATGTTCTGGAAATGGGAAGTACAATGCCTACACTCTAAAGGAGGGGTTTTGGGATATTAGCAGTTTGGAGGGATATGTTGTGTATCTTTATACGTATATACTTCTAAGCTGTTGTGTTCTGAGCTCCTCTGCAAAAACAGTGATTATGTGTGAGTGAGGTGAAAGTGTTGAATGATGATGAAAGTATTTTCTTTTTGGGGTTTTTCTTTCTTTTTGGGTCACCCTGCCTCGGTGTGAGACAGCCGACTTGTTGGAAAAAAAAAAAAGCATGACTGGCAAGTAATACACGTTTTCACTTGTTCAGGAATCAGACGTGACAACTCTGAATCTCTGCAGTGTGTGTAATACCTGTTGGTTCACGAGTCGCTCTCTCGCAGACAGAAAGAGAGAGAAGCAGAGAGACAGAAAGATAGAGAAGCAGAGAGACAGAAAGAGGGAGAAGCAGAGAGACAGAAAGAGGGAGAAGCAGAGAGACAGAAAGAGGGAGAAGCAGAGAGACAGAAAGAGGGAGAAGCAGAGAGACAGAAAGAGGGAGAAGCAGAGAGACAGAAAGAGGGAGAAGCAGAGAGACAGAAAGAGGGAGAAGCAGAGAGACAGAAAGAGGGAGAAGCAGAGAGACAGAAAGAGGGAGAAGCAGAGAGACAGAAAGAGGGAGAAGCAGAGAGACAGAAAGAGGGAGAAGCAGAGAGACAGAAAGAGGGAGAAGCAGAGAGACAGAAAGAGGGAGAAGCAGAGAGACAGAAAGAGGGAGAAGCAGAGAGACAGAAAGAGGGAGAAGCAGAGAGACAGAAAGAGGGAGAAGCAGAGAGACAGAAAGAGGGAGAAGCAGAGAGACAGAAAGAGGGAGAAGCAGAGAGACAGAAAGAGGGAGAAGCAGAGAGACAGAAAGAGGGAGAAGCAGAGAGACAGAAAGAGGTAGTAAGAGGTAGTAAGATAGTAAGGATGAAGGGAGGATGTGGCACCTGGAGAAGAAGTTGATACCTTGGGGAGAAATTTGACTCCAAATAACATGAAGAACATGTTGTAAATCTTAAACAAGGCAGCCAGGAAGCTTCAGCACTTCGCAGTACTCGCATCTGCTTACATGGGGTTGCAAAGACCTACAGGCACAAGTACGCTCGACACCTGATATGCTCCACCTTGGTTTGCTCCCCCCCTCATCATTGCGACTGCTTGACAGAGTAGAGAACAGAGCAAGCGTCTCACTCTCGCCTGGACCCATCCTGGATAGATCTGCATTCAACAGGCCTTCACATAGGAGGAGTGGTGGCCTTACAGAATGTACACGCCAATTATTGCTCCAAATTACCACACTTGGTTCCCACTTCGAGGACCAGCGTGAAACAAGCTTTTAGACAAGACGGCAGAAAGCAGCAAACTTCATCTCTGGCTGTACCCTTCTCCGAACATCACTCCATTGAGATCATCCCATACCCAGGATGACTCGAGTATGGAACACATTCGTAAAAAAGCCATAATGTGTCAAGAGATAACGTCATTGATCCAATGAAAATGAAACTGCCACAGACGCAAGGCCAACTTCACCCTGT